ATCCTAATACAAAATTGACAATTGTGAGAATAACTTTATATAATGTACCTCTCACAGTAGTCCAAAATAAAGTTAACCGACAAACGATAAAGCGAATCACGCGCATTTTCTATGTCAAAGAAAGCCCTCACTCCATATGTTTTGCATAAGTAACGTAACTGTGGAAGTGAGGATAGGAAAATACCAATTCAAGTTAGTACAAATTCAAATGAAGTTAGTTTGTTTCATATACTTTTTAGACATCCAATATCTGGTGATCATGATAAGGAATTCCAGAAGAAATAATAGAAAGAATGAAATGATTGTCATGTGGAACTGTTTGATAACTGTGGACATATTTGTTTTCATCTTAAGAATTACTTACTCAATCCTGGGTTCATGTGTTATGTTCATAGTCCAAAATTATGGTATGCGATTTTTCAATTTGACATAGAGCATTCTCTTATTGTAGAGTTCTCTACTCGAGACTCTTGTGAGGACTTTCTTAGTTATGGTTGTTTATTAATAAGTGATGTTTATTAACAAATGCAAGGAGTGGTTACATGGAAATCTTACAAGATATATCTTCTTTTAGTTGACCAATGAGATGAAAGCAACCTCTCATTTGTGATTGAATGAGAACTTCATTTACTACAAAGAAAAACAATATCACTGGATTCGTCCTTGTACATTCAACATTTGGTTACGTAGCTAACACCAAATAAATTGTATCCATAATTTTATGTGAGGAGCTGTACAATCAACATGCACTATAGGTTCCAGAGCATCTTCTGCAGAATTCCAGGGTACAGTATTATAGGACAGTTTCTTGCTGAACAACAATTAGATGCATGAGAGAATTAAAGAAAAAAAAATACCAGTTTTTCATAGTAGCTAAAGGTCTATAAAAACCATCGTAAATAAAAAACATTATCATAATTTTAGCCCGATTCTTTATCCAATCTGTATCCTTCACAATAGCACCTAGCTAAGCTAAAAAGTGCTAACATAATGATGCATCAGCATTTCCACACATTCCCCAAGTTACTGAAAAGAAAATTTATAGAGATGAGAGAATGGTAGGATATCAAATTTATAATATTTTATTCTGATATATAAATTAAGCTAATCTTAGAGATTTTCATTGATTTATTATCTCTTAAATGCTATTATTTTCTTACCCCTGTCATTATATATAGTTTAGTGTATAAGAGAGGATTGTCAATAGGACAAGTATGAAGAGATTTATTGGTAAGAGCATAGGCTATTGGGCAAATTTCTTGCTGGGTAGAGATTCTGCTACAGAAGTTTCATACTTCTTGGAGAAGTTTTATACTTTTTGTTTGTTCCTATAATGTTATCATCTATAAAATTACTAACTTTTCTTTTCTAGATCTATTACTCCTAACGCCTGCCGGATGAATGACAACTATAGAATCCCAAGTGGAAGCTATGGAGAAGGGTCAACTTGCCCATCGACTCACTAATTTCGAGAACGCCAAACAAATCTTATGGAGTTGGTCTCACAATTTTTGTCAACCGAGCACAACATTCCAGTCGGCAAAGTCATCGACACCTCCCAGATCAATCATGTCAACAACTTTTCTACTATGAATGCCACATCCTATTTCTCGGGAATCACCATGCCGAAATTTTGAAATTTGAGAGTGGCTGCAACTCAAATTCCTCTACTTCCTATGTTCCCTCGATTCTGGTGCTATCAGATTCACAGCATTACAACAACAACATAGCTTTTTAGTCCCAAGCAAGTTGGGGTAGGCTAGAGATGATACCCAAGAGAACCAATGGTAAGAGAAACACAAAAAAGGGCTCAAAACAAAAGGAAGAGATTGGAGCAAAAGAGAAAGGAGCAAAAGTCACGGTTCTGGCCAACATTCAGCACCCTATAGCATCTCTGCTACACTTAGTTGTTGGACATGTTTCCTTTTTGTAGGCCAACATTCAGCACCCTATAGCATCGCCGGGCGAATCGCCGTCCTCTAAAACTTACCTTTTAGCCTTTGTGGCACCCTCTTATCACAGAGAACGCCCGAAGCTTGACGCCATTTCAACCAACCGGCTGCAATTCTATGCCTAACATCAACATCAATGCCGCCATCCTTTTGTAGCATCGATCCTAAATACTGAAAATTCTCATTCTTGGCCACCACTTGCCCGTCAAGGCTAACGTCACCATCATCATGTGTATCTATGCTGAAAGCGAACGTTATGTACTCGGCCTTCATCCTACTAAGTCTTTCATCCTACTAAGTCTGAAGCCTTTCGACTCTAACGTGTCCTTCCACAGCTCTAATTTCCTATTTACACATGCCCTACTCTCGTCAACTAGCACCACACCACTAGCAAAGAGCATACACCAAGGGATATCACCTTGTATGTCCCTTGTGGCCTCATCCATCACCAAGGCAAATAAATAAAGGCTCAATGTTGACCCCTGGTGTAGTCCTATTTTAATTGGGAAGTCGCTGGTATCGCCCCCACATGTTCGGACACACGTCATCACATCCTTGTACATATCCTTGATGAGGGTAATGTACTTAGATGGGACTTTGTGCTTTTCTAAGGCCCACCACATGACATTCCTCGGTACTCTGTCATAAGCCTTCTCAAGGTCGATAAAGACCATGTGCAAGTCCTTCTTTTGGTCCCTATATCTCTCCGTCAACTGTCGTATTAGGAAAATCGCCTCCATCAACTGTCGTATTAGGAAAATCGCCTCCATGGTCGACCTTCCAGGCATAAACCCAAATTGGTTTTGGGTCACACTCGCCACTCGTCGTAGGCGATGCTCGATAACCCTCTCTCAGAGCTTCATCGTATGGCTCATCAACTTAATCCCACGGTAGTTACCACAGCTTTGAACATCTCCTGAAGATCGGTACTAAAGTACTTCTCCATCGTATTAGATTCACAGCATTCTCCATACTATTAATAGGACATTTTTCAATTAATATCCTACATTCCTACTACTTAAATATAATTCAAAATAATATTTTCTTGATCGTCATAATGCATTTTTTTCTTGGAACCATTGAAATAAGTTGATACATATTACTTTAAGATTTCCAAGAATTTTTCTTTATATTCGTATCGCTCACATATTTTCTTTATACAATAATATTTTTTATATAACATGAAAACAAAAAATCAAATAATATTATTTGGACCGAAATAAAATATTATGCGCAAATTAAAATTTAGCACATAATTAGTAGATGTAAAATATATATATATGTAAATACATATTATATTTTCATGAAGGCTACATCATCATAAGCACTGGTAATCAATTATACATAAACCTACCAGTAAATATTTCTCCTTTAAAATAACAAATGGGTAAAACACAACCTCTATTGAAAAACATAATATAAAACTAGAGATAGTGCTAATAATAATCCACATTCAAGATTCAATTTGAGCATGGAAAAAAATACAAAACTAAAAGAAGCACATATATTTGGTGAAAGAAATTAATTAAGAAACCAATCCAAAATTTGTATTTTTCATTCAATTATTGCACAAAGAAGTTACCTCCAGATCAAATCTGTTGAGGTTTCTTGTGCTGAGATCTATCTTAGTGGGGAAGAGGCACAACTTGTTGTTCTTTGAAGGTGTGGTTCGATAAAGATAGAAAGATGAAATAAGGAAAGGAATAAAAGTTTCGAGGAATGCCANAAAAAAAAAAAAAAAAAAAAAGCGAGAATGAAATGTTAAATGGGCTCTCAGAAGTAGCTAATTCCCACTTCTCCAAAATGGACTTACTGAGAAGTGACTATTTTAAAATCTAAAATGCAAGTTTCTTGTTTGGCCTTCTGATGGAGAAGTTTCATACTTCTTGGAGAAGCTTATACTTCTTGTTAGTCTCTATTATATAGTAATCAATTAAATTACTTATCTTTCTTTTCGTGATCCTTTACTCCTAATAAAAATACCCACTGTTCAAAAAAGCGTTAAGCAAGATACTACAACATTAGGTTAGTGCCTAGCAGCGGGCACTAGTTGAAAGTGTAGCCTAAGCAAAGTGAGGCACCGCACCTGTCTCACATTTGTTAGAATTAAAATGCTCCAATGACTATGACAACATGCTAAACAAATAAGAACAATTAGATATATTTTGCTCAAACAAGCACCATTTGAGCACTAATATATCAATAAACTGCTAGAATGTGACTTGCGACTTATAAAAGGATACTATCTTAGATATACTCATCAGCTTCCCATAGAAAATAATTTGATAGAACACTAGAATCATCCCCATTTAATGAATCATATCTTTCACCATCTTCTTCTTAAAAGTTGGCACGGTCACAAAGATGTATTTGAGATCTTGTGGTTGCACTATGCCGGTTTCTATGAAAATGCACTCATAAAAGATACTATTATATGAATTGAACCTGTAGACATAAGAACCTCAACGGTGTATGCTAATGTACATTTCAAGGCCTTAGTCCTTACACTACTTCCCAGAAACTACTTCGCGTGTAAAATTAGGCGACTGGTTGTCGGCTAGCACCTAACGGGCAGACCTTTTGAACCATTAAAAATACCTTTCGATGAGTGCCTCTAGAATAAGAGCCTCTAGGCACCAAGTATAAAATACATTTTGAATAACATACAAGAAACAAATTTATTGCATGAATGATCCTTCAAACTAGAGAGTACAGGTTAACAGTGACACAAGAAAATGCATTGAACATGTAGGATGGAAATACTGACCTGAACTATATGATTCATTGATATGTCCAGCCCATTCATTTTGCGATCCATTATTGCTGAATTGATGTGGCAAATTCGAAATAAGATGAAAAAGAATGACGCCGTTGACAAAGGTACAGTGATTTAAACAAACCGCGACTATCACAAGAGATCTAGATGAGCCATGATGGGTAGCAACCTCAAAGCTTGAATTTTGTTAGTCCCTATTATGAAAAGCTTGACTGAAAGCATGCAAACTTGATGGCAACATCATGCCCAAGCATGTAAAAATAAAACAAGCTTGACATTAGACACAAATAGCCGTCAGTTTCTAGAATAATACTCTTTTATTTTCCAATTTTCTTACTCTTCTATCACACAAATCTTTTCTAAATATAGGAAAACACAATAAGGTGGATAAAAACAACAATCTTCAAGACAAGCGTGAACACAAGAAAGACCTTTTCCTTTCACAAATCAACAAAAATGAAAAAAAAAATAGAATAAAAAATACTATAACCAACCTCGAATCAACTGGTTCACTATTCTCTGATAATCCTCCTTATCAGTTGTTTCTTGTGGGCCCCAGTTCACCGTCCGAGGCCACCACTGAGGCAATTCTTCCTTCCTCCTCTTGGCCAACGTTTTCGTTCTGTTTTTTCTCTTCCAGTAATTACTATAAACATCATTCGAGCTCAATGGTGTCGATTTGCTGGTGGGCCAACTCATCTCGCTCTTCCCAACCACAACCTCCCTTCCACCAAGGCTCCTATCCCTCTTATATATCAGCACCTCCCCGCTACTTTTGCGAGCCTTAAACAAACCACGTAAAGCAACAGCAGCTACCAAACTGGTCAAAAACAGTGCAATAAGAAACTCAACAGTGGAACGCCTGCAGGATATTACGACCCCACCGTTGTCGCCATTGACGGTGAGGATGGTCTTCAAGTCGTCAAGGGTTTCCCGGCCGTAGTCGAGGAACTTATTCAGTCTGGTCTCGACCTGCTGAAGGGAATGATTAGGGGTTCTTAGGGTTATTTGGAGGCCTTCGTCGGAGAGCTTGAAGATGGCTGGGGTGGGGATGGGTGTCTGGGCGTGATTGGGGGAGTATTTGAGGAGGCGACGACGGTGGTGGCGGCGGAGGACGGCGGAGGGGACGTAAGTGTGGCGGGAGACACAGCGGTCTGATAAATTGAGGTTCATGAGCTGTGGAAGAGCGAGAGAACAACAATTGCTCATCACAATTCACAATCAGCAAAAACGCTAGATGAAACCAACGAGGCGGATTTTAATTGAACGAAAATACACGAAATAATTTACAATTATATCCAAACATAGAAAATGGATCATATAAGAAATGAAGAATAAGAAATGAAGATACGGAAAGAAATAAGAATAAATATGAATCATTAGATACATCATATTAAATTAATGATTATGATCAAGTCAAATTTGGTCAATCATTAATAACAATCTATCTATATATAAAAAAATTACTATTTATCAAAAATAGTAGCAAAATAATATGTCAAAATTTAATACAACCTATAAATAATAAGTTTTATTATTTTTCTTATTTTTTTCTTTAAAAATCATATAGCATTAAATGTTACCTTAAATTTTGAGTTTTAGTTCATGTCATTATTTAAAAAATTATGCTAAGATTTATTAATTGCGTATGTTTTTATTTTTATTTTTTTCTTAGAAACAATGAGCAATATTAAAATCTCGGTCTCTATATTTATAAAATCTCAATTCAAAATATAACAAAAGTTTTAGAATCTCGGTCTTTATATTGTGCCTTTAAAAAATATTGAACACTAAAAAATATTCTTTAAATTGCATAATCAATCAGTTAATTCTAATTTTTTTAAAATTACTATGTTTATTTTTTACTAATATGCATAAAGTAAAAATAATTAATTCATCTTTAGATATATAATTTATAATCTTAATATACTATCATTTGGTGTAGACATTTATTATATGAATCATAAAATATTTTTATTTCATAAAATCAAATATATTTAAAGAAAATAAGAAAATTTCTTCGGATCAATCGAGTGATTGAATTAGGGTACTGCCCAGGTTGATTGTATTACTTTTAAGTGATATTTAAAATAGTCAAAAAATTTGACACAACGTGGTTGGTCCCAAGTGACTAAGTTATGTATCAGTTCGACCACACCAAATCGATTATTGAACCTAAATATAAATTTTATATTGAAAATATTTTATTACATGAATGTGATGTAGTCAAACTTCAAATAATCGACTGGTGTTGACGGATTCGAGAGCAAATATTTTATTAAAGCGAACTAGACTGGTTATAAACCAGTGCTTGATCCATCCAGTCGGACTATGTCCAACCCGGTATTCAAAAACAATGAATAAATCATGATTAATGTTATATATATATATTTAATTTATAATACAATTATAATATTGTTTTTCCGTGCATCGCACGGGCCACGCACTAGTATGGTAAATCAACATACACATTGTGGTCAAATATACATATTTGACTACTCATAGGAGCAAATCGGTCATTACACACCAACCTACCAACCCTAATATTTATATGCACTCAAATACACACACGCACACACTCAGCGCACACACACACACAAACATACACACATACACAAAAGCCTAGCCCGCCGGAGATTGCCGCCATGCCTCCGCTGGCTTCAGTCGTACCTCCGTCGGCCTTCACCGGCCTCTGCCATACCTCCGTCGGCCTCTGCCATATCTCCGGCGTGCCTCCGCCATTCTCTGTCGCCGCCTGCCAAGATTCAGGAGATTGCTCTGGTAGTGCCTCCGCCATGCATCCGAGCGTACCTCCGTCGTGCCGCCGTGCATGCCTCCGCCATGCCCCCGTCCGGGCCTTCATAGTGGTTGCGGTCCCAGGATCGCCCTTCGCCGCCAATCCGAATCTGAATGGGCGGCGCTCTGCAGCGCCTGCAAAGCCAACGTCCACCGTCATCGCTCCCGTCTCCTTCTCCACAAGAGGCTCCGGCGAGGAGCCCTACGAGGTGGAGGACTCGCAGTTCACGTTGCGGGGGGTGGGGGGATGGTGGCGGTTGGGGCGGGATGACGCGACATTGACGGGTGGGTGTTGGTAGAGGAGAAATTAGGGCTGAGATCTAGCGAATTTGGGGCTGATATGGAGTAGAGAGTGGTTTTTCATTGTTTTGGGACTGAGCGAATTTGGGGCTGAGATGGTGTTTCAGTGTGGTGGGTTCATTTTTGGGAATTAGATACATTTAGGGGACTGTTTTGCAATTGTTTGAACTTTTAATATATGTATATTTTATTACTTGAGGGAAGTTTATAATTTAATAAAGATTAATTTATGAACAACAATTGCACATTAGATGCACAATATTGTGTCTAGATGTGCACTTTAAAAAATAATGTCATGTGTGTACAAAAATATTAAAAATATGAAAAATATGCAAATTTATTCGATAAGTGATTTTTCACAATATTTGTGTATAGATATGCGCTTTAAAAGTACAACGCATAATCAAAACGAAAAATAAAATTTCGAATTGAAAACTTTGTTATAATCGGTTTCATTTTGTTGGTTAACATAAATAACCAAAATAAATTACATTAATTATTCTAAAAACATGTTCAGTCATTAATACTTTTTACTTAATATTGTGTTTGTTCTTTTTTATTAAAAGAATAGTATATATGTAAACGACATATAATGTGCAATCTGTCAGTTATTAATGTGCAATTCGTCCAACACTATGGTGTCTACAGACTGAACCGACTGATCTTTTGTTCTAAACCAAATTGAAAATGTGCAAAATTAATTTGTTTATTCGGTTCGGTTAACCGAATTATCCGAAATAATTGAAACAATTTTTTTCTTTTCTTGTGTATATTAAAATTATATTTAATATGTTATTAATTTTATTTCTTATTTCTATATTATTTTTTATTGAAAAAAATTCGACTTTGGTCGGTTTTGATCTATTTTGTACGATCTGATAGTCGTGATATTGTGCAGTGTGTTGTTTGTAAAGTGCAACGCGTTATTTTATAAAGAGCAAAGTACTGATATATAAAATAAATTACTGTGATTTTGATACGTTAATATGTTTGTATTTTGTGTGGATAAATGATGTGTTTAACGTTAAAGTATTATGTATATCTGTTTTTCAGATTTATGTTGCGTGGTATTTTGTCGGGAGCTATTGACGTTAATTGTGGAGCGTGGCGATAATGTGCAACGTATTGTTTTATAAAATGCAACTTGTTTTTTTATAAAGTGCAATGTGTTTGATATATAAGGTGCACTATTCTATATGGTCACATATAAATAATGATTTTTTTTAAACTATATTTAGTAGATAAATAAATTGTTATTTGTATAATTATAAAATAATATTTATTATTTTAATTATTTTGTTTATTATTTTAAATTATTTTTATATAATATATTAATGTATTATTTTTAATTATAAATATTGATGCAGTTAATTAATTCCAATTCGCATGTTTATGGAATCAAATTATATTTGTTCTCTGTTCAAGGCACTAAACTTATGTTGATTTTGGAAATAAATTTATTTTAGTACCTAGACCAATCAACTTTTTTGAAATTTGTCATGTGTTACGTTGCTTATGGGTCATTACTCATGTTAAGACATAAAAAAAAATCAAAATTATAGAATTGACCACGGACTTAATTAGAATGAAATCAAAATTATTAAAATTGCACATGGATCCATATAAATTATCAAATTTCCAAAATAAGACCCAAAAATCTTTAATTCCAACCCCAACTCCAACTCTCGTCACTGCCGTCCCAGCGTGTCTGGCCATCGTTAAACGGACGGTCGTTCCCCGCCCTGCCACGAGCTCGCTGGTGATGACCGGAAGATGGCGGCTGCACAACACGCCGCACAATTGACGTCTGTGAGTTGGATGACGGCGACGGATGAAGGCATGGCGGCGGCGGATGATGGCGATGGCGGTTCGGTTGATATAGGCTATGTTTAGTAGACCAATAAGCTAGCTTATAGCTTATTTGGTTAGCTTATAAGCTCCCTGTTTTCAAATAAGCTCTGTTTGGTAGGACGAGCTTTTTTAAAAAGCTCGAGCTTATTTGATAAGCTTCTTTGGGTAGCTTTTCAAATAAGCTAGTTGAAATTTTTATTTCAGCTAGCTTATCAGCTAATTTTACCAAACACTTTTATCATATAAGCTAGCTTTTCAGCTATAAGTCATAAGCTATAACCTCAAAAATTACTGATAAGCAATAAGCTAGCTTATCAGCTAGTTTTACCAAACATAGCCATAGTGGTGGCTGTGGCAGCGGCGTACTGGCGGAGGTCGGCGCGCTGGCGAGAGTAGTTGTCACGGTGGAGGTGCGGCTGTGGGAGCGGTTGCGGGGGCCGTCGGCGATGGCGGACGACGGCCTGCAAATGGCTGGCGACGGCCGGCAATAACGAAGCGACGACCGGGGAATCTGACTACGTATGTGTGTGTTTGTATATGTATCTGTGTGTAATATGTGTGTGTATGTAACGTGTGTAGTGTGTTTGGAAATTGTGTGTGAGAGAGAGAGATAGATAGAGAGAGAGAGAGAGGGAGGGAGAGAGAGAGCATGGGAGAGTGTGTAAGTGTGTTTGTTGTGTGCTGGTGTTGGTCTGCGTGTGTTGTGTGTGTGTTTTGGTATATGGGGTGGTGATGTGGCATGATGATGTGGGTGTGATGTGTAATTGTAATGTCCAAATTACCCTTAATGAAGGTATAATTTTGGTTTTTTTATTAGTCATTAGTTCATCCGATCTAATGACTACGATTTATTCTTATTTCTATCATTGAGCACCATTCTCATTTGAACCCAACCCTCCAAACATATATCAAAGATTCTACCATTTGAAGTAAGACGAAATCCCCAAATCCCTAATCTACAATGTAGCAGATCTTCTCTCTCGTTCGATTCCGCGTAGCCTCCTCTTAGTTGCAGCTCCGGCGCCTTCGTGGAGACGACCCTACCAGCGCAGCCCTCACCCCCTAGCTCGTTCCGCCCCTTTAGTCGATTTAGCTTGTCCTCATTGGGTAAGCTCGTTGGCTATAATGGTGGTTTATTTTTGACGGGGTGAGGGGCGCGGCTGCGTGCTTGGGTTCGCCGGCCTTTGCTTCCTCTCCTCATTCGTCTCCTAGGGATGAGACGGAGTGAGTCGCCGGCGGAATTTCTCTGTCGGTTTTGTGGTGAAGTGAAGAGGGTGGGATTCGTGG